CCGACGGCAACCATATTTTTCGCATGCGGCACGCTGTGCCCGTCGAACAGCACGAGATCGCGCACTGGCGCACCATCACGTGTGCTGTCCTGCTCGGTTGCCTCAGCCAGCACGCCCTTCTCCACATCTCGGCCAGCAAACAGGCCAGCATGTGCCTCGACATATGCCGGCCACACTATCTCGTCAAAGTAGAACGGCGGGTCCTCCCACACAGTCCCGTCCTCGAGCACGTAGTTGCTCCGGCTCTTGCGTCGCGCGTCCATCTCGGCGCGGCTCACGCGGAGGAACAGCGGAATATCGATCAGACGCCTCACCTTGGCGCTAAAGTAGAGCAGATAGCCCTCGACAATCACGATCGTGACGCTCGGCACGGCAGTGGCGCCCACGGCAACGTGGTCGAGGCCATTAAGCCGCTCGGCCCACTCTTTTTGCTGCGCTTCGCTGAGCTTGCAGTCGTACTCGCTGCGCAGATGCTCGTTGCTTTTGTAGTCGTGCGGAAACTCGCCATGCGCGCGGAGATGGCCTAGTACGGTGGCCATGCGCTCATAGTTGATTGCGCCGTGCGGCGTGTCCCAGTCGGTCACCTGCCACTTTTCGTTCCACGGCATCTGGTCGGGGGGGTACGTAAAGTCGTCCTGGTGCAGCACACGCACCGCATCGACACGCACAGATGCGGATGCAAGCACGCCCGCAAGGTTCTTCGCCAGCGTAGTCTTGCCGGAGCTTGTTGCGCCGCTGGTAAGCACACACTCACCCTATGCCAACAACCAGCACTGATCGTGTCATGTGGAGGCTGGCTGCAGTGTGCAGCTGCTGTGCGAGGCGGACGGTACGGCACGGTACGCCCTCAAAGACAATAGAAACAAGCCAGCCTGCCACGTCTACACAGTGTCTATGACGTTTTTTGCTTCTTGAGCGGCTTCTTTTCCTCCTCCTCGTCCTCGGCGTCGTCGTCACTCGATGCCTCCGAGGGACTGCCGCCATCGTCGTCCGAGTCTGCGTCAAAGTCCTCGTCCTCCTCCTCCTCGTCATCGTCGTCGCCACCCACAGCCTTGTCGTCATCGTCGCTAAGCAGCGTATCGACCGTCGCACTGATCGCCTCGTCGGTAAGCTCGTTCTTCACATGGATCTTGCGCTCAGAGAAGAACGCATGCAGACTGTCGAGCTCCTCGCGGCTGAGCGACTGGAAGGTATAGTCGCCGCTGCTGCGCGTAACGACACGCAGATCGAACGTCTTGGCCGACGCCACAGCGCCACCGACGCGACTGAACACGATCTGCACAATGTTGCTGTATGCGACGACCACGGGCTGCTTCGACACCCAGATCAGGCTCTTGTTGAGGGGGTACAGCGCACCGTCGTTCGCCTTCACGTTGCAGCGGACGCTCTCGCGGCCCTGGCTGTTGGTGAACTCGGTCGGCACGTGCACCTTTTGGCCCGAGAGCACACGGAACAGGTTCGTGACAATGCGGAACGTCGGCTCCTCGTACCGCTTCTTGAGCTTGCCCTCGTACTTGGTCTGGATCGTCTCTTCGTCGAGGTTCAGCTCGCCGTCCATCTCCTCCTCACGGGGGAACTGGAGCACAAGGTATGGGTACCGCGTCTGTCCCTGGCGGATCGGGGGCTCGAGCGCCACGACAAAGAGCACATGGATGTCGTCGGCCTTGGGCAGCAGAAAGAGCTGCGTGATCGACGAGTACAGAATCTTGTAGTCGTATGTCTTGCCACGCAGACGCAGGAACTGCGAAAACAGATCGATGTCGTAGCGGCCACGCGGCGTGAGCACCAGCACCTCCTTGAACACGAGGATCGAGTCGCCCGTGACCTGTCCGATATCAGCCTTGGCACGGATCGCGCGGTGGAACGCAGACGCCGCGCTCTCTTCCTCGTCGTCGTCGCCATCCTCGTTCTCGTCGCGCTCCTCGCCCTCCTCCTTGTCGATGCTGCCGGGGATGTACAGACGCATCTCCACCAGCTCGTCCGTGCGGTTCTTGCGTGGGCCGTTGAACGGGAGGCCCGCGCCGCCGGACGACGCGCCCGTGTTCTGCTCGGGCGCCTGCTCCTCGGCGTTGATGAACTCCATGCTGACCTCGGTGCGGCCGGCGATATTGCTGTTCGCGACGTTGCTCAGGGGGATCGCGAACGCGGGCTTGCCACGCACGCGGAACGTCATGTCACGCTCCTCGACGTCTGCCGAGCCCCAGTTCCAGCCCCACAGCGAAAGATCGATCGTCTCGAGCGCGCTGCGGTATGCGACACGCACCACCTGCGCCACACGGTCGTGGTCGTCGCGCTGGAAGCCCTCGAATGTCGCGCGTGTGCCCTCGCCCTCGCCCTCGCCGTCTTCGCCCTCGTCGCCGAGCGTGATGCGCAGCTGGAAGCCGCGAGCGACGCTGGTCAGCATTCTTTACACGCACCGCAGCCACGCGAACGAGCGCATCTGCTCGGACGGCACAGTGACAGTGGCGCCCTCGCCATTCGGCTTCCATCCGAGGCCAGCCTCGGAGAAGCGGATACGCCCAGGCACTTTGCCTGCCCCATGAAATATATTGTCGAACTGGGTCGTCATGGTTGGCGCGACGCGACGCGATTCCCGCTTAGTCATTTATTATAATTGATTGCCTCGTCAGCTTTTTTGAACAGTGCACCCGTTCCAATACCAGTGAGTCTATGGCAAATACAACTTGGAGTAGGCCTCGATGGGCGTGCGGCACGTAGGACAGAGCTGCGCGCCGGTCGTGCGTCTGTGATGCACCAGCGCCTCGCGGCAGCCGTCACACAGCGCGATGCACCGACACGGCCAGCAGATGACCTCGCGCTCCTCCGCACAGCACACGACACACAGCCGTGTATTTTCGTGGGCAGCCGGCGCAAAGTGCCGTCTCTCCCGGATAGCGCTGAGCAGCTCGAGCTCCAGCGCTGTTTCGGCCGACATGGCGCTAGAGGCCCGCACTAGCGCCCTGTACTCGCTGCGTGTGAGCGGCGGCCCGTCGCGCCGCGCATGGTGCAGCTGCACGATGTCCCTGAACGACTCGCCGCCCGCGTCGGCAAGCAGCGCCGCGCCGTCCATGTCCATGTCGGGGTCGCGCAGCTGCTGTATCAGGAGCGCGCGGTCGTGTGCCTGCTGCGTCTCCATCGCGATGCGCTGCGCACGCCGGATCTCGCCGTTGGTGCCGTGCCACACGAGACGCACCGCGCGCGGCACGCCGCGGACAGCGCCCGGGACCGGCACAAGCCGCGTGACCGCACGCACCGGGCGTGCACACAGCTCAGCGACGGCCTCGGCAAGCACGTTCACCATGGTCCAGCCGGCGCGCACCTTGTCGATGCCGCGCACGATGCCCCCCGCGTCGGTGAGATGGCGCTCGTGAGTCACGTGCACGCTGCGCACCTCGTGTGCGAGGCCAGGGAGCGCGCGCTCGGTGCCCCATATGATCTGTGCGCCGTCCGACGAGAGCTCCACGACCGTCTTGCGCGGCATCTGTGGCAGTGCGATCTCGGCCGACATGCTGGTGAGGTTCGTGGCATGCAGACATATAGTACACAGTTTGATGCATGCGAGGCCAAAGTCGTCGGACGCGCGGATGACAGGCGACGGCGCATAGACCAGCGGACGGATATCGACGCGGCCCTCGGTGACGAGCATCGCGAGCGAGTGCAGGAATATGGTGCATGTGATGATGCCCAGCACGATGCCCTCGCAGACGCGGTGCCCCTGGAACACGCTGGGGTAGTCCGCCGGGGGGCACGACACAAAGTGCAGCAGACGGAGCGACGCGATGGCTGTGGTGAGCAGGAGGCGCGGCACGAGCGGCGGACGCACGACGGCCGAGAGTGCGAGTGCGGTGAGCTCGACGAGCTGCAGCGCCACGAGCAGCCCGCCATGCGCGCCCATTTCGTACTCGGGCCGCGAGCTGTACAGATAGAGGATAAACGCAAACGATCCGAGGTTGAACGATGCAGGCTCCTCGGCAGGCGGCACGAGCTCGATGCTGCTGATCAGCACATTCGTGCACTGTGCGATGCACGCTGCAAGGAACACATTCCACGCGAGCGCCGGCTGTGCTGGCGGTGGCCCGAGCTCGAGTGGACGGAGATAGGCGAGCCACCACTGCGCGGACTGCGTGTGGTAGTCTGTCGCCATCGTCTGGAGCAGTGCATATATGGCACGGCCCATGAGCATGAGCGACGGGACACGCAGCGCGAGACGCATCAGTGGCGACAGTGTCGAGGGTCTTCCCCGTGGGGAACACACGTGCTGGATGCGGTTGACCGCAAAGACCAGGTCAGCCGGGACGCACCATTACTGCAAGCGCGAGGGAGTACCGAGACGTGATAAACTGGATAGCCGTGTCGAACATGATGGCGACGACCGAGTCGCCCCCTGCGGAGCTCTCCGGCACGCCCGCCATTTCTTGGGGAAGAGAGGTGGAGGCAGGCGCACGGTTGTGAAAGACGACAATTCCGCGACACAAACTCTGCATATCCGGGTGACAGGTATCGTGACACGCAGCTATATATTTTGCTACTAGTTTTCGCGCCATTGGAAGCCGCATTTTTGCATGGTGCACTTGTAGAACGTAGTCACTGGTCAGCACCGCATCAACGCACTTGGCTCATCAGCAGAACGGATCTGCAGCTGCATAAAGTATGCGCGGTTGTTGTCGCACTTGGGGCACACGGCTGTGTCAGTCAGTATGAGAGCGACGTACCCTCGGTGCTGTCGACGTTCTTCCAGCTCTCCTCGCCGCCCATGACATCGTCGACCTCCTTGCGCGTGAGATGCATCTGCGACGTGACCTGCCTGTCCATCGGGAACTCAAATGGACATGTCGGGCATGTCCACTTGTTCGCCCCTGTGTTCATCGACGGGAGCACCGTGACCACATTCGCACAGTTGGGGCAGAACAGCATGGTCAGCAAAAAGTGTGCTGACTCAATAATAATAAGATTGCCGGTGCAACGCTCATAATGCGTACCACTCTGGCTAGAACCAACAAGCTCTCATAGCTCAGCTGGAAGAGCGCAAGACTGAAGCAACCTGCCGCTTCATAAGCGGACTAACAGTCCTTCTTGAGGCCACCTGTTCGAACCAGGTTGGGAGCATTTCTTTTTACTGTCACAAAAAAGTGGCGTTTTGTTTATAGATGCATCCGTCGGGGCATGCGACCAATGCGGGCGTGTGGTCTAGTGGTATGACGTTTCCTTCGCACACCTGCGACTGGCTGAATAGTCAGGAAAAGGTCCCGGGTTCGAATCCCGTCTCGTCCACTTTTTGCGTTTTGCCCCATAAACATGCGTGCGTGCCCCTGATATGCACGCACAGATAAACTCTCCGGCAGAGCGAGCGCACTGCCGAGAGTACTCTATTTTTTCGATTCGATTTTTGGTGCTGTGTATACAATAGTACTGTGCATTTTTCATCAACTATTAATATCTCTGGCGATCTTCGTAGGAGTGAGAGCCACGCACCGGTGACCGCTCACGCTGATAACTACTTTCACGACTCGAGCCACGGCCACGGGGATCAGCAGGCGGCGTGCCAGCGCCACCACGGGTGTTCCAGCCCGATCCACCAGCGGGGCTAGCATCGTCACGTGGCGATGCACCGCCGCCTTGCGCGCGGGGCTGATTTGCGCCGCCCCAGCCGCCGCCGTTCTTTGCTGCGCCGCTCATGTATGCAGTCATCATCTGCTGCCAGACAAGCTGCGGGTTCCATGCAGAGCTGCCCCAGCCCATCTGCTGGTACATCTTTGCCATAGCCTGAGGATCAAAGCCGCCGGCCGCGGCGGTGGCGCCGCTGCCGGCTGTCTGAGGTGCTGCGGCGGGAGCGGCGCTCGCCGCAGGGGGCGCTGCGCCACCCCACATGCGGAGCTGCGTCGGTCCACGCGGCTCCGGTGCGCTGAAACGGTTCGGCTGCGCACTCACCGGCGCCTGTCCGCGTGATTGTGCGCGCTTGACTTCGATCTGCTTGCCATCCAGCATGAGCGGCTGGTTCGCGAGCGTGCGCTCAACACCGTCGTCATTCTCAAACGTGACAAAGCCGAATCCACGCGGCCGGCCGGTGTCCTTATCCATCATAACTGTGCTGTCGAGGACATGGCCGAACTGCTGGAAGAGACGCTTGAACGAGTCTTGGGTAACCGACTGCGGCAGGCCGCCAACAAAGCATTTTTGAGTCTTGGACTGTTCCGGACGGGGAATCGCGCGCTTCGGATCGATAATCTTACCGTCCAAAAAGTGCTCACGCACCATCACTGCATTTACCGACTTGGGATCAACAAACGTAACGAACGCAAATCCACGCGAGCGGCCCGTCGAGCCGTCGCGCATCACCGTGCACGAACTGACAGGGCCGAACTGGCCAAAGTAGCGACGCAGGGAATCTTCCGTAGTGTCCCAGTTGAGTCCACCGACGAACATTTTACTGGTTGGTTAGCGCTGTCCTCATGATGCATCCGCCTAGCTGTTTAACTGCTATACAGCTGGGCTACTGTGTACGTACCCCTCATCTGGCAGGTCCTGCGGTGCGATATGCTCGCCACGCACGGCAGCGAGCGCACGCGCCTCGGCCGGCGAGACGCTCGCTGCACCAGGCATCGACGGAATAAAAGAAGACTGAGCGGGAGGGGCAGACGGCGCAGCGGGCGCCGCTGCAGGCGCCGCACGGGGATCCGCAGTAGCTGCGGGTGCGGGTGCCGCGGCGGGCGCCACTGGGGCTGCGTCATCGCCATAAAGGTCTGCGTAAAGATCGTCCGCCTCGTTTGACATGGTGGTGGCACAATAGGCGGGATTTTCCCTGCAGAGCATGACTAATTGCCGCATGTCGTTTGCGAGCAACGCGTCGGCGTCCGGCGCACGGCGTGCCGTGTCGGACGCCGAAGCGTACTCGTACGCGCTGCATGTCGCGTGCGTCGAGTACGCTCTTGAAGTGTATCGGAGCCGTGCCGGCACTCCGCAGATGCCCGCCGCGCCCACGCCCGCGGCTGCAGGCAGCAGCAGCAGCACCGCGCGTCGCTCCTCCGAAGGCGCGCGTCGCACCATCGGCGCGCTCACAGACCGCCTGCGCGACTCGGGGTCCCCACGCACACGCTTCCCGGAAAAGATGATCAGACGTCTCACCGATTGCATACAGCGCGTCGCGATGGGCCGTGATCCCACATACACGCAGCCGAGTCTCCGGCAGACCTGCGGCGTGTTCTTCGGCACACTCAACGATCCGCCGACCGTGCGCCGACTGCGCGAGAACCGACGCATCGAGGAGGTCATCATGCTGTTCGTGTCCACTGCGACAGCCACGCTCAACAAGCGGCCGCTGAGCGACGCGGAGCGGCGCGCCGAGCTCGACATGCAGATTGCCGCGCTGCTCGACATGCTCAAAGAGTGTCTGCGCGGCCTCGGCGCCCCGCGCGAGCTCACCGAGATGCTCGACGAGTTCTCCGTCGGCACGCCCGCCCCCGACACGAGCGCGCCGCTCCCCGTGCTGCCGGCGTCGACGAACACCCTCGTCAGGGCCGCCGCTGCCGCGTTCGGCGTCGACGACGCACAGCTCGCACAGGACACCGAGGCGACCGACGCCCTCTCCAGCATCTCTGCAGCCACTACAGACCTAAAGCGCGTCGTGAGCCGCGTCAGCGCCGGCACGCCGGGCGCCGACGAATTCGCGTCCGCCGACGCGCATCAGGCGTGGCGGACAGCCGAGCTCACGACGCTCTCGGAGCGCATCGTCGAGCTCTGCCAGCTCGAGCCGCAGCTCCTCCGGCTCGCGAGCGACAACGAGGCGCCCGCGCGAATACCCCCGTGTGCGCCGGCATGCTACCGGCTCGTGCTCGAACGGTGCCTCGACGCTGATCTCGCGCGCATCAGAAGCCAGCAGGCGGACGATCACGTGCCGCTCGGCATCCTGTCGCCGACACACACGGCGCTGCTCGAGGCATGCGCGCTCCACTGGCGCGTCTCGCGCGGCGCGGCCGCCGCGGCGCATCTGCATGTGGTCCGCTCGCGCTACGACCGCGGCGAGGTGCCGCTCGAGTGTCTGAGCGACTCGCTCGGCGCCGCTGTGCGTCTCGTGCGCGCAGACCCGCCGTCGACCTGGCTGCGCGCCGACGCCGCGCTGCTCGCGGGCACGCTTGCGGCCGTCGTCGACCCGCTGCTCCGCACCGTATACCCGCTGTGTGAACGCATCGTGGACACGGACCCGGCGTCGGTCGTGCCGCTGCTTGCGATGGTGCAGAGCATCGTGCGCACGGACCTCGTCGACAGCGCCGCAGTCGCGGCCAAGTGCGACGTGCTCGTCGGCGTAGTGCGGGCGAGCGCGACGCAGGCGTACGCGGCCGAGGCGGCTGTTGCGGCACGCAAGCACAGCGTGTTTGACACGCTGATCACGCTGCTCGACTGGGTGGAGGCGCAGCACAGGCGCCTCGCGGCAGGATACCCCCGGGCGCTGCCGTTTTCGCCCGCCGAGGTCGTTGCGGACGAGCATGCGAGGCTGTTTTGCCACGACTGTGCGTCGATGCGCGGCGCGATCCACGCCGAGTGTCTCGGTGTGGACGATGCACGTGCCGTCGCTGACGCGCTCGCGCTCCTCGGACGCATCCGCGCCGTCGCGGAGCGCGCGCCGGGCGCGCTCGATGCCGAGGCGCTGTTCGCGCCGGTCGTGCGCCACTGGCTCGACGTCGCGCAGCGCCGCGGGCAGGACTGGGTCGTGAATGCGATTCGCGCGGACTCGTTCGTGCCCGACCATGGGACAGACTACAGCAGCTCGGTGCGCGACCTGCACGACGCGCTGCAGCAGCCGGCGCAGGTGCTGGGCGCGCTCGCATGGTCGAACACGACCGAGCGCGCCGGCTTCTACACGCGGTTTGCACGCATGACCGCCGAGCTCGTCGAGCGGTACAGCCGCACGATCGAGGCGCTGTTTATGGACGAGATGCTGCCGCGCGAAAATATCTCCACACCCACGCCCGAGGTGTCGGCATGGGTGGAGCGTGCACGTGCCACGCTCGGCGCGGACAGGCCGGCGCCGCCGACGGCGCAGGTGATCGAGCCTGCGAGCTGCGTCAAGCTGAACAACATCGAGGGCACGCGCGCGCTGCTCGACGCGCTGTACCACCAGATCGACGCCGACGCGGTCGCCGCGGTCGCCGCGCCCAAGGACAGCGCGGAGGGCGTGCCGCAGTTCGTGTTTGCCGTCAAGCTCGTGCAGGCCGAGCTCGCGGGCGTCCCGGCCGCGGACACGTTTGTGACGCTCAGCGACGTGCGTGGCAGCCGCCTCGCCAAGACACGCACGATATACGACACGGCGACGCCGCGGTGGGACGAGGTGTTCGACCTCGGCACCGACGAGGCCATGTGGCTCTCGGCGACCGTGTGGGCGCGCGACGGCGCGACGCCCGTGCTGCTGGGCCGCGCGTCGCTCAGACTCGATCCCGCGCTGTTTGTCGATGTGAACGTGCACGAGACGTGGCTTGAGCTCACGAACGGCGGCGGCCGCATCCACGTGCGTCTGAGCATGGAGAGTGCACATGACGATATACTATTTTACTTTGGGCGCGCATTTCGCGTGCTCAAGCGTGTGGAGGCTGACATGGTCAGGGTGCTCATCGACCGCATGGCCGTGTGCATGCGCCAGATCCTCTCGCGTGCGACGCTGCGCACGCTCGTCAAGGGACGGCTGAACATCGACCGCGCGCTCGGCAACGTGCGTGCGCTCTATGTCTCGGCGATGGAGCGCGCGAACGGCACGGCAGCGACGATCCCGCCCGTCGAGCCGCGCAGGCGCGATGCGCCGCTCTCCGACGTCGAGATCGAGGCGGCGATCGTGCCGCTGCTCGACTACCTCGACGAGAACCTCGGCACACTGAAGGCCTCGCTCAGCGAAGACGAGGCGCAGCTCGTGCTCACACGCATCTGGAAGGAGGTGCTCTATACGATCGAGAGTCTCCTTGTGCCGCCGCTCGCGGCGACGCCGAGCGAGATGACCCAGCTGTCCGAAAAGGAAGTCGACATCGTATTCAAATGGCTCTCGTTCCTGCGCAGCTACTTCAACGCATACGACCCCGACACGGGCGTCGCGCACGGCATCCCCCTCGACGTGCTCCAGGGCCCCAAGTACCGCGAGCTGCTGTCCTACCTGCTGCTGCACGACCAGTCCACGGACGCGCTCATGATCGAGTGCGTGCGTGGCTTCCAGGCGCGTCTTGCCAGCGCGCCCGACCGCCGCAGCAAGGCAGGTGTCGACCAGCGCTCGCTCGGCACGATCCGTGCGCACA